TCAAACTGATAAATATAAACTACAAACATAGTGATTCTGACTTCCTTAAAGGTTTTACCCAAGGCATTTTTAGCTGCCTCTTTTAATGGCCAAAAATATGGAATTCAATTTACCTAAGAGGTATATGAATGCCTTAAAATCCTTGTCTATGAATAACATTATTATATCTCCTTCTGATAAAAGGATTGTTGTTGTCATGGATACCATTGCTTACAACCAGAAAATGTTGGACTTGCTTAATGACAGAGACACTTATGAACAGATCACGTTCTATACAAATTTCTAAGAATCTAAAAAAGAATTTAATAGGTCCTATAAGAAACTCATATGTAATGAAGATAAGATTTGGCTTTCCCTTATTAACTACCACCCGACCGTCCCTAAAATTTATGGCCTCCCCAAAACCCATAAGCTTAACATTCCATTAAGGCCCATCATCTCGGGTATAGGCTCAGCTCCTCATAATATCGCTAGGTATTTAACTAAATTTCTAACTCCAATTCTGGGCACAGTAAGTAACACAACATATAAAAATTCAGGCTCTTTTTTAAATAAGTTGAGAAATATTGATATAGATAACAAATTACTAGCTAGCTTAGACATCAAATCTTTATATACTAATATACCTGTTGATAAATGCATTAAACAATTAGAGAACCACCTTAAGAAAATTGACTTTAAGCTACCTATCTCTATCTCGAAATGCATCAAATTATGCATCCTTTGCACTTCACATTGTTTCTTCCAATATAATAATATTTATTATAAACAAAAATTTGGTTTTACCGATGGGGAGTCCTCTCTCTGGATTCCTAGCATGCATATTTCTAGAATTTCTTGAATCTGGACCTTTTAAAGATGTCATTCCACCTGATACACATTACTTTCGATACATCGATGACATTTTATTTATCTACCCACATAAGCATGATTTAAACGAGATTACTGATAGATTAAATAGAATAGAACCTACTATTGAATTTACCTATGAACTTGAATCTAATAATTCCTTACCTTTTTTAGACATATTACTCATTAAAAATAAAAATAAATTAGAATTCAAAGTATATCGTAAACCTACATGTAAAAATGACTATTTACATTTTTACTCTCACCATGATACTAACACTAAGAGGGGTATTGTTATTGGATTCTATTTGAGGGCTCTTCGCATCTGTTCATCAAAATATTTAAATGATGAATTTACATATATTGAGGATACCTTTTCAAATCTTTCGTATCCGAGACAATTATTACAGAGAGCTAAAAATAAAGCGTTGAAAATTCACTCATCAGCGCAAAATGACACCTCAAAGGCCACTACAATTAGATCAATGAAAGATACAATTTCAGCTACCTCTGATAATATTTCGTTTGGTCGCATCTTTTTACCAAATAACCATTTGACCGAACGTATCTCTCATAATCTAAATGCATTAAAAATTAGAACTACTATATTACCTACTAGGACTATCCGTAGTTTATTAAATAGCACCAGCAGACAACATATTACATCCGATGCTTGCATCTATCAAATATCATGCAAAAATTGTGACCTAAAATATGTGGGTGAAACAGGTAGGTCCTTAAAATCTCGTGTTTTCGAACATAAACGAGATATTCGTCTCGGTAATTTTAACAATGCTTTAGTTGTACACACAACTAAAGCAGATCATAATTTCGATTCCGTGAAAGTATTAAAATATTTTCATAATAAAAATCTCAGGAGGATTTATGAAGCAGGTATAATATCCATCTCACGCACGGTGAATACTAGACCTGGTTTCTTTAATATTTCCCCCTTTTTTAGCGAGATTGATGCTCGACAAGCATACACATAAGAATTTTGGAACCTAATAGAATTCTTTTCATTTTCTTTTTTTTTTTTTCATTTCAAAATAATCACAAACTTTTTTAGGAATACGTTATGAAAGCGTCGCTCATGTGACGACAGCGTGACCATGTTAGACGGAAGGCTGATCATTTTAAAAATTTTCAGTTATCTGTTCTGAATAAGACTTGTGTTTTTATGTCCATCGTATTTGTCATATTGAACTGAATTGTATTTTGATGAATATTGTCTTGAAAAAGGTTTAATAAACCGAAACGTCAGACGTCGACATTTCTTTCATTTAACTACATTTAAGGATTTTTGTTTGTTTTTTCAAAATTTCTTCATATATATGTGTGTGTGTGTGTGTGTATGTATAAATGTATAGTTATTGTAACCATGTGCCAAACAAGCGGAATACCTTTTTTATGTTACTTAATACAAATTTGGTAATTACATTGTTGTTAAACCATGTTTTTTTTTTTCATATACTATCAGAAACTATAGCAATTTCTTTTGTTTAACCATACATAAAAATGGTCTCTCTCTCTCATTTGAAACATGTTATTCCAAAAAAAATTTTGCTTGAAGATGGAACAGAGCTTATTTTAACTCAATTTAATTTAAATAATTATATTGAAGTTTTCGGCTCTTGTTTTGAAACATGGGACTTCTTATGTCGCGATTTGGAATCATATTTTAAATAAATAATATATATATATATATATATATATATATATATATATATATATATATATATATATATATATATATTTATTTATATATATATATAAAATTTGTTTATTTGCTCCCAAGTATCTTTTTAATTTTATGCAAAAATATTAAACAAAAGAAGTCAAAAAGTTAAAATTAAATTTCAGTAAAATCGATAACTGGTTTAGATTTTTAGTAATAAGGTGAAAGTGTCACAAAAAAACAAAAAAACAAAAAAAGAGACAAAATTTAGCAACAATAAATTACAAATGACAAAACAAATTAAATAACAAAAAAATGACTATATAGGTGTATAGCTTGAGAAAATACTAAAATATATTTCATTTCCTTTAGTCAAATGGACATTTTTAAAAATGCTTCTGAAATCTGAAGCACATTTAGCAGAAGAGAAAATTTTTATTTCATTCTCATCAAAAACAAGTGTATTTTTATACATTACTATCAGTTACAAGTATTTATGTACAAAGGAAGAGCAAACACCTATGAGCAAAAAATAAAATACTGTATCATTTTGTTTTATACAGCAATATTTAGAGATCCTGCAGGCTGAAAATTGTTATAAAATTATTACTGATTAAATTCTATGCAAAATTTGTTGGAATGTATTAGAAATATCCAAGTTAGAACAAATATACAAAGATAAATTTTGAATATAGCAAAATATTCATTGTTTACTTAAGCATTATGTATATTATTTCTTGATAAGGATGCATGGAAGAATGTTATTCTTAGTATACACTAATTAATACCTTTGTGATTAACAAATCTCATTAATGAATAGAGTGGGATTAGTTTAGAGTTCAAATCATGTAATCATGATACAACAACCAACATAACAAAAAGAAAGTGAGTGATATGAAAGAACTTATGAACTTTAAAATATTTCATATAAATAAGGCTTAAAAGACTTTTCATTCCCCCAAAGTCACCAATACATGCAGTAATACTAAGCATAGAAGTTTTAAAATTACAAAGCTGCAATTTTCAAAAAGTGTTTGAACTATTTAATAATTTAAACTTTATATTGCAAGTGTTTTTTTTGTTTTATTTCAAATTCACAAAATAGTAATGAGACTTAAAAGAAATTTGGAAAATCAAATATTTAAATTCAAATATAACTACATCGTAAATAACAAGAAATAAAATTTTTTTAATATGAAAATTATTTTGAAGTGTAATTGAAATTAGAATATAAAGAGAAACATGTCACAGTAAAAATGACTATTTGTGATCAACAAGCAGGCTAATAATTTTCCATAAAAAAACTTCATTTTCCAGGACAAAAATGTAAAGTAAATTGCTAAACATAGGCCTAATAATTCTTTTCAATCAGTATTTCTTACATCTTATTTAAGTTGCTTTTCATCATAAAAATTTATTTTTTATAAACTTGGAAATAGGAATGAAATAAAATTAATCAAATTTTTATATCAATGAAGAATTTATATTTAAAAAATAAAACATTAGAAAATAAATAATTAATGAAAATGAAGTTGATGACTAAGAAGTAAATTATAACGGAACTGAAATTTGCAGCTGTTAACATTTCATTAAAAAATTAAATAAACAATATCATTTAACTGATGCATTCTTGCCAAAAAATATTGTGATTCCTCACACTTTGCAAGGATTAAATTTTAAACATAAGTCTGCTATTGTTTATGAACACTAGAAATAAAATGGAGGTCTCAAGTTAGTTATTAGCTAATATACATTGTGCTAGGAATATCAAATTTGTTAGTTTTATAGGCTGCAGATAGATATTTTGAAAAGGCTGTGGAATGATTAATGTTCAATAATTTTAAGGAAAAGCTGAAAATAAAATTTAGAAATGACTTCTAATATCAGCATGTAGTTTTTTGATAATATACAAAATAAAGTAAAATTTCTTCATAAAATGTTAAAATTTACAACAGTTCAGTACTAGAGAGGATTCACATTATCATAAAGTAAAAGATTTATATATTCATTATACAATAAAATGAAATATTCTTTATAACAGTTTTCAAAAATCATCTTAATATGACAATTAACTCACAATTTATTATAGGGTACTAATTATGAGTATGTAAAAGAAACATATGTAAATAATATTTGTAAAAAGCTGTTGTGATTATGATAATCTAATTTGAAACTGTCAGCACTGAGTAAAATTTTTCTAAATACTTTGGTAAATACATTCCATCAAAAAAATTGATAAGCTCCAAGTATAATCTACCCAATCAGTACCTAGTATCAAATCTCATTATTTATCTGATAGTATATGTGCAATAGCTTAAGAAATACTGCAATATATGGAAGAATAAAATATGATACCATGAATAACATGATCAAAATACAAGATTTCTAATGCATTATGTTTTCTTTTTAAGAAACATTTTTGTTCTATATCTCAACATTTAAAGCAGAGATTTTATCTCACAAGACAAAAATGTTAGGTCCGAGACTTAGTAGGAATTCTGTAGTAATCCTCTTCATCATCTGAAAGGGTCAAAGGATCAATTTCGTGGTCACTATCCTCCGTATTAACAGGATTAAATCCCTTATGTCGATCTGTGAGGAAATTGCCAAAGAATGATTTGTGTTGCCGACCAATCAAGCTACCTCCTCGATGATCACAACATTTAAGCTTGGCTGAAAGAAAGAAAAAAAAAAATAAAATAAAATAAAAATTTATTTAAATATTAATTTTAAGCAAAGAGATACAATTATTTCAAGACACGTGTTACAACATTTCTATACATAAAATAACTAATAACATGATTAATATTTAAACCAAGGAGACTATATTCAGAATCTCGCAGTAACACATCTCTTACTAATAACAATTCTTATCAATATTAATAACTAGCAGTAGAGCCCGGCGTTGCCCGGGGATGTAACAGTAAGAGATAGATCAAGTATCGACCATCATAAAGACTGAAAAATAAAATTGACAAAGATTATTGTTTAAGGTTGACGGACACGCATTACTTCTTTTTTTTTTTTTTTTTTTTACGAATTGGTCAAACCCAAACTCAAACAAAAACATTGTTTTCAATCGTCATGAGTCTTCCGATTGAATAGAATTTTATTATAAACAATTGTCTTGTAAATGGAATTTTTAAATCATTCTGAATGTAAAAATAAAGAAAAAAGTGTGCAAGACAATAAGAAACACTACCTGCCAAAAAAAAGTGAAGTTTTGTTGAAATCGGTTGAAAAATGTAGGAAATTCGATCCCATATATAAATGAACACACATACACACAACCTGGGTTTTATAATAAGTATAACTCTATATGAATTGTCCCCCTTTCATTCTCATGACAGCAATGCCTCTTAATTGCATTTTCAAATTGATTTTGTGCAAAAACAATTGTGTTTTTCCAATTTTTGGTGCTGTCAGAATCACCGCAAGGTAATTTTACGTATTCCTGTGAAGTTTTGTTGAAATCGGTTGAAAAATGTAGGAAATCCAATCCAATATATAAACAAACAGATCCCCCCACACACACACACACAACCTGGGTTTTATAATAAGTATGATTTCATTAATTTGTGCTACAGCATTCAGGTCTTTCAGAAGTGACCTTTTCTTTTGAAAGAGACAGTCTGCTTAATTTATCATAACAAAAATTTAAAAAAATAAACAACAAATATGAAAATATTTGAGTCAAACTCCTACATTGTAGCAATTTTTATTTGATGCAATATAATAACCAATAGAAAATTTACATTTTCACAAAACAATGATCAATATATATCTAACTAGTAAACATAACAGGTTTTTTCATATAATGGATCAAAATCTCCCCACACCCGCAAAAAAAACAAAAAACAAATGATTTTTATCTTAGAAAATCAAACTCAGTAAGCTTGATACAATAAAGACTTACCAGAATTACAGTAACGTACAAATACTGTGATTATGATGATAAGGAACATTGGAGCAATTAAAAGGCTTCCAATAAGAACTGACACTTGAAAGTCTGCTTTGTTTGGATTTTCTTCAAGCTGTGAGTTAGACTGCCCAACACTTGGCTGACCAATATGGTTCTTTTTGGAGAATGTGCCTACAAAAAATATTGCTTTAAACTCAAATACATTTCCTTAAATAATATATTAATTGTATCAAATCAAATTATTTTTTAGCATAAGTTAAAATTGATTGGGAAGCAATTATATATTTTAAGTGCTGTTTTTTTTTGTTTTTTTTTAACTTAAACACTTTTCCATAAATTTAGCCTCTCAGTAACACTTTAGAGAAAGAGAAAATATTTTTAAATATTGTAAGAAAATTGGAGTAGTTTACAGTCTTCCTATTTATTTTTCTTTCTTTCAATGTCATTTTTTTAAAGGGTTTTGACAACAAAATTTGCAACAGAAACAAGAATAGTAAGACGAAGAGAAATGAACAAATTTCAGTCATTTTTTATCATGACAATATATTTTATTTTTTCAAGAGTAAGGAAAATGTCAAAATTTTCAAAAATGTCAAAAGATTCTAATAATTTATGAAATCTTTTTTTTTACTGTATGTAACGAGCATGCACGGAAATGTCCTCGAACTGCGTGTGCGTGTTGTCGCCGGGCACACCTTGGAGTATCATAATGGACTTGACCGAGGACTACAACAAGAAGATGCACGAGTTGTTTGGTGTCTTTTCTTGGGTGAAACAAGCCGTTGCGGTCGGTCGTTTGTTGGCAGCAGTCTTGGGTGCCATTTTGCTCGTTTGCTGTCATAAAGTGTTCATTCGCAAGAAGGCGTTCGTTTTTGTCGCATTCGTTTCAGGTTCGCAAGAAGGCGTTCGTTTTTGTGTCACATTCGTTTCAGGTTTGCAAGAAGGTGTTCGTTTTTGTGTCACATTCGTTTCAGATTCGCAAGAAGGCGTTCGTTTTTGTGTCGCAAGAAGTTGTTTTTTTTTTTGTCCCCCCCCCACGCCGTTTTCTCGCACAAACTATTTCGGCATTATGGCCTTCGACCCGAAGCTGATACCACTGTTCGATGGAAGCGATTCTAGACTGTCGGTAGTGGAATGGTTGGAGAAGGCGGAACTAATATGTCAGTTGAGCAGTGTGAAGCGAATTGAGTGTGTTATCCCGATGCGTTTGGCAGGTGGCGCATATGCTGTGTACCAGCAATTGAGTGAGAAGAAGCGCGCAGACTTCAATTGTGTTAAGAAAGCGTTATACACAGCATTTGCCTTAGATCCCTTCTCCGTGTGGAAGCAGTTTGCAGCACGTCGCCTTCAGCCAGGGGAGACGGTCGACGTCTTTTTGGCAGAACTGTGCAGACTTGCGGTTCTGTTTGGTGGCATATCAGAAAAGTGTTTGCAGTGTACATTCGTTGCTGGATTTCCTGAGCATGCAGAGGAGCTTTTAAGAGTGTCATCCCAGATGGAAGACCTAGATTTGTCACATGTGTTGGCACGAGCTCGCACTATTTTGAAGAAGTGTACTGGTCCTATGGAGCAAGCCGCAGTGGCTGCACAGTTGAAGGAAACAGATGTGCACATGAGGTGCTATAAATGTAATGGACCCAATCATAGGGCGAGCGATTGTCTCCTGGGTTGTGAACCATCCAAAGGTGCTGGTACCAAGCACCGACGGACCATCACTTGCTATTGATGTCATCGGCAAGGGCACATTGCTCGGTGTTGTCCGGGAAACGAGCAAGGGGGCGAGAATTCAGCGACAATCTCCTCCCCAAAACCCTTGTAAATGGTGCATTGCCTGTAGTGACAGTTTGTATCAATGGAATACCACGTATAGCTCTGGTGGATACAGGATGCACACAGTCACTAGTCCGCAAGTCATGCTGTCGAGCATGTACAAGAAAATCAACACGCGTGCTTACAGTAGATGGAGGCGCACTTGACTGCTGTGGAATCAGAGTGGTACAAGTTAGCATTGGTGCAAAGCCGTCCATCGCTATGGAAGCCCGAGTCGTGGACAGAGACCTGCTTGGATTTGACTTGCTGCTCGGACTAGACGCCATCAAACAGTTGGAAGGAATATCTGTAACTGGCACCGGTGAGGTGAAGTTTCCGCAGTGTGTCGAACCAGTTGTTGCTGCCATCACCGAGCCTGACTTTAAAGTAGAATTAGATGAGACCACTCGGAGGTGAACCGCATCTTGGAAATGGGCTGGCAACCAACCCCCGGGTACGTTAAGAAATAGGCTGGCAGAATATCCAGCTCCCGCACAAATTCGGGAGGAGTATGATCGGGAACTCCAGATTTGGATAGATAACAGCTGGCTGCTTCCTTACCCGGAGGAGGAACTCGGACCCCCAAAGGGTTTAATCCCCCTCATGGCCATTCTGCAGGAAAACAAACAGAAGGTTCAGACCGTCATGGACTACCGGGAACTCAATGAGTACGTTGACGCATACGTGACCAACGCAGATGTTTGTTTGCAAAAATTACGGGAATGGTGTCAGCAAGGACCAAATGCTGCAATGCTGGACCAACGCCGGGCCTATCTGCAGGTACTCGTCAAACAAGTCCCTTTGGCCATTCCAAACAGTGGAGATTAAGGGACAAAGGTATTGTCTAACCCGCTTAGGATTTGGGCTCAATGTTGCCCCTTTAATCATGCGGGCCATTGTTAATACTGTCTTGAGCCAGGACGAGATCGTCAACACAGCCTCCTCCTCTTATATTGACGACGTTTTTGTTAATGAGAGTGTGTGTTCTGTGGTCCGCGTCAAGGAACATTTGGGGCAGTTTGGTCTGTTAAGTAAGACCCTGGAACAGCTAAGAATTGGCACACGCGTATTGGGATTGCATGTCTGGGAGGAGAAAGGAAAACTGTGATGACGTTGTGGATGGGAACTTCCAGTAGTCCCCGATAAACTTACCCGCCGAATTGTCTTCTCACTGTTCGAGAAGTTGACTGGTCATTTTCCTGTATGCGGTTGGTTATGTGTCGCCACGGCATTTGTGAAGAGGAGGGCAAACACTGTTACCACTGGATGGGACGATGAAGTGCAGGACCCTTTTCTAGCCCAGATGATCGATGACATTTTTAAGAGACTCGCCCAGGACGATCCAGTGAAAGGTGACTGGTGCATTAGTGAGACCAGTGCACAAAGACAAGCACATCAACTTGGCTGAGCTTGATGCTGTGTTGCGAGGTGTCAACCTTGCATTACAATGGAAGGCCAAAACCATTCATTTACGGACAGACTCAGCATGTGTGCATCGCTGGGTAGCTGACACTCTGTCCGGACGGACGAGAGTGCACACCAAGGCAGCCTCTGAGATGCTAATCAGACGTCAGCTAGCCACACTCCAAGAGTTGGCCTTAGAATACGAGCTGGACATTGATGTAGAGCTTGTCAAGTCATGCAACAATCGAGCTGACCAACTTACTAGAGTACCGCAGCGATGGTTAAATGAAATGCGCAAAATAACGGAACCCAGAGAACCTATGAGAACTGAAGAGCGAGATGTTGCATCCTGGTGTGAAGAGAACACTCTATTTTGTGAAGTTGATCGACCCAAGTAACAAAAGCTGAGGTGCGAGCAGTGGTTAGGGGATGCAAGGAATGCCAGTCAATCGACCTGGCCCCTGTGCGTTGGAAACCGAGCAAGCTTGATGTCTCGGAAAATTGGCACAGGGTTGCGATGGATGTAACCCATTTTGGACATCAACTATACCTGACGCTGATAGACTGCGGCCCCAGTCGTTTTGCCATTTGAAGCCCTTGCACCGCCAAGACTCTGCTAGCATCATCAAGGAGCTGGAAGTAGTGTTTTGTGAAAAGGGGGCCGGTTGAGCTGCTTACGGATAATGGCACAGCATTTTGTGGAGAGAGGTTTGCTGCGTTTGCAAAGATGTGGAATGTACAAATACGATTTTGCTGTGCCCACATACCATCTGGGAATGGGATAGTTGAGAGATACCATCGTACAATAAAGCGCATCGTGACGAGAACACAGTGTTCAGTTTTGGAAGCTGTATATTGGTACAATGTTACCCCAAAGGACAATAAAACAGTTTCAACTGCACCGGCGAATGCAACCTACACTTACAGGGTCGGCATTAAGGGTATCGACGCAGCTTTGGTGTGTGACGACAGAGTTGCCAATCCTTATATGGTAGGAGAGACTGTCTGGGTGAAAAATTCGCACAGAAGGTGTACGACACAGTTCAACAAGGGTATGGTGACACAAATTAATAGCCCACACTCCGTCTCTGTGGAATACCACGCCACATAAAAGATGTGCGTCCAGCATGCGGGAAGGATTATTCCATCAGCAACCACGTTAGTTCTTCTTCTTTTTCTGATGAAGCCCCGATGGTATATACAAAATCACAGGAAGAGCACACCTCAGAGAGTAGCGCGCCTGATGAACCTATGCAGGATGAGCTCAGCGAGATGTCTGAAGAGAGCACCACTGAGGAAGCACTTGAGACCATACCACTGAGACGGAGCACCAGGCAGAAACTTGCCATTTGTGTGATCTAGAGATCAGGGAGGAGTGTAAGAAGCATGCGCGGAAACGTCCTGGAACTGCGTGTGTGTGTTGTCGCTGAGCACACCTTGGAGTACCATAATGGACTCGATTTCGAGGACTACAAGAAGAAGACGACTTAGCAAAATCGTTTGGTGTCTTTTCTTGGGCGACACAAGCTGTTGCGGTCGGTCGTCCGTCGGCAGCAGTCTTGGGTGCCTTTTTTTTCGTTGCAAAGAAATAAAGTGTTTATTTCGCAAGAAGGTGTTCATTTTTGTGTCGCATTCGTTTCAGGTTCGCAAGAAGACGTTCGTTTTTGTGTTGCAAATAGGCGTTCATTTTTGCATAAAGACTAAAGAAGTGTCTTTTTTTTTTTTGTTTGTTTCCCCCCATTTTCACACACTCTATACAAGAAAAATTTGATATTAGAATTTTAATTTCCATGTTTGCTTCATTAAATTTCAGCAATCAAGTATTCTGGATATTTAAGGTGCAATAAAGTGGTACAATTAAGCTATTGTGAATTGTTTAGGTCACCTATTTTATTTCAGGTTTCTCAGCCATATCAATAAAAGCTATTATTATCTTTTCTTAAAGGAACCAGAACCAG